CCCCTCCCCCCCGGAATGCGTCGCAGGCGGGCGGGGGGCAGCGAGGGAACGGGGATACGGTCGGCGGCCCTGGCTGGACGCTGCTGCGTTCCTGGCACTCGGGTCTGTGGGCGTGGGCGTGGACAACTGCAGCCGCGGGGGGGGGGGGTGGTGCTGCAGCGCTAGCTGACGCGCGGGAATCTCTGTCAATCGCAGACACATCCTCTCCCCCCTCCCGCGGCGCGGCCCGGGCTGTCCAGAAAGGCCCCTGCCTCCTACGGGCTTCACGCGCGAAAGTCCGGGCGGGGCGTTTGGGGCGCGTGGGGGGAGGAAGCAGGTCATGTATCACTATGGCCCTGCGTAGATGCGTCTTCTGCCGTCTCGAGGACTCTGCGCCTCTCGATAGCCGGCTACAGCGGCAGATCCAAGCCGTGAATGTGGTCGAGCGGTGCGGCGGCTGGCTGTGTGTCGTCCGGCCTCTGTAGGACGTGCGCTGCTGGGACGTACGCCTCTGCCACGAATATCTCGGAGCGTATTGGCCACGCGTGGCGACGGGTGACCAGAGTATACGCCGATAGAGCGTCCGCTCGTCCCGCCCTTTTCTGGAGGCGTTACGGCACGGCTGTCTCCCGTTTTTAGACGTGGGGTCGGAGGGACCGATAGAACGGACGCAGCGTACGGCGGGTGTCCTCCTCGTCGGGTCCTTATGGCGCCATCCGGAACTGAGCACGAAGGAAGATGATGTCATCCTCCGGAGCTTGGAACAGGACGGGAGCGTCACAACACGTACCTCGCCAGTTGGGGAAGGTTCAGCAGCGGGCTCGCTTTCCTGCGTCCGACTCGCGTTCGAGTCGCCGTGCACATCATCGTCCGGTGCTTCGATGCCAGGACACGGACACGGCGGCCTGAGAGCTGGCCCGACGGCGGCAGCATGCGTCCCCGTGCGGCGGAGGGTGTGCTGCCAGTGCCCTACGGAAGCATACGATGGGGCCAGCAGGCCCGCAACGTCTGTTCGCTCGATAGCGCGCGGCGACCCGTCACGGTGCCGCGTTCCTGGACTGTTCGCCTGCCCATTTCTAGAACCGCGGGCGGAGCCAATAGAATAGGCTGCAACCGTGCACAGCGTTACGTGACACGCCAGACCCGCAGGAGATCGTGCGCACGCCCAACGGCCGGGACGCGAGAGGGGGGGGAACCGCCGAGGTTCCGCCAGTTGGGTGGCGGGGATAAGCGTACGTATCTACTCTACACGTCGCGACTCTCGAGTGCCGCGCACGGAAACGGAAAACCCGTGCGCCGTCCCTGATTGGCTGGCTGGTCGCCGCAGCACTGTGTGGTGTCCGCTGCGACAACTTGGAGTGGAGCGTCGTCGACTGATTGAGGGCTGGGGCTGGCGTCGGTCGTGCCACGGTCTCATGGTGGTCGTATCAGGGCAGTACACGCGGAGAGGAGTGGTTGTGCTGAGCACGAGAGGTGCTAAGCACGAGAGCGTTTCAAACGACAGCAGGGCCGCAGAGCATGACAGTCTGTTCATGATACATACATGCACTCAGAACGATCGACAGCCGGACGCGAGCGCCCGGCCGAGGTCGCTACTTACATAATAGTTGTTATGGGCGCCAGTGTAACCGTGCCTCGCTGGCGCCCCACGTCAAGGCCCAAATCGACAACATATGGCAAACTCGGGTGGCAGCACGGAGAGACGACGGGCTACGGCTTCCAGTACGTGGAAAAGAGCAGGGCGAAAGAAAGAGATCAGGTGCGGGAATTGTGCACCTCGTTTTGTTCTGTGAGGGGGGTGAATTGGAACGCGAGGCGGGGGTCTGGAATGGGGCGTGGCGAGGAGGCAGGGAACGGTTCAGAATGCTGGGAGAGAGATGCTGATTAGGCGAGGGAGCTCGGGGAGATTCGCAGGGCGGAGATCTGAAGGTGGCGTGCTGGCTGAGGCGTCGCGAGGTGTCAGACCGGGATGTCAGCACGGTCCGCGCGGGGGGACCGCGGGGAGGATATGAGTGTAGTTCGCACGGGGGGGGGGGAAGTTATCGCGCATGTTCTGCGAGATATATTTTTGCGAACGGAGAGGAAGAGGGGGGAGGTGAGAAGTGGGAGGGGGTATTTGGCGAGTGAGGCGCGCAGCGGTGGGTGGCTGATAGGCTGGGAGTAGTAGTTGCTGACGGCGTGTCCCTGGCAGGAAAGGCTAGACGCGAGAGCCAGGTGTGGAGGAGCGGCGAGGCCTGTACGGAGGGAGATCTGTTGGGTTCGCGCCGAACGCACTTTGCGAATCATCTGGAGAAGTCGTCCCAATCCGTCGAGAAGGTCTGCCCATATAAGGCAAGTTGGAGAGACCGAGCTGGTCGAGGGAAGGAGGACGAATGCTGGATTGGAAGAGAGGGAACATCGAAGATGGGGGGGTGGATCTGAGAGAGAGAGATGCGGGGCTGAGGCCGTCGTGGCAGACAGGCCGTCATGCGGACGGGAGGAGGGCCCGGTATGATTCGAGGACATATACAAGGAAGCCGGCCTGCCCCTCGTCCTCCGTCTCGCTCTCCCAGATCCAGTCCCTGGGCCCCCCGTCTGTCGCCTTAATTTGCCGGGCATAGCCTCCCATCATGTCCATGTCTGCCGTTGCCGCCCACCCCGCCTACGCGCCGTCCGCCGCCGACCGCCGCTACGGCCACGAGCTCGCCGCCCACGCACACGCACACTACGACCCCGCCACGTTCTTCAGCTACTCCCAGCCGTCCCTCAACGCCGTGACCGCCTCCGCCGCCGCCCTCGACCCATCGTACAACAGCCCGTCGTCGTCCTACCCATGGGACGCTTCCTTCCAGACGTCATCCTCTTCGTCCCTCGCAAACGACCCGGCTGCTTTTGCGCCCTCGGCCTCCTCCGGCCCGCAGAGCCTGTCTAACCTCGGCGCAACATACGCCGAGTACTCTGCCCACCGCCCCGCCCTCCCCGCTCGCTCCTCCGCCCACTACCACATCCCCCACCACCCCCAGCCCGCCTCTCCCGCCTCGACGCACTCCTCGACCATATCCTCTCCCACAGCCCGCTCCCCCTACTCGTCCTCCTCCCGCGGCTACTCCTCCCTCGCTGCCGCAAACGCCTCCCACTCCGCCACCTCCTCCGCAGCCCGTCTCCAGCATGCCACCTGGGACTCCTCCTGCCTCTACACCATCGACCCCTGCGATCCCGTACACACCCCGCTCTCCCCCCTCTCCCCCCTCACGTCCCCTCCCTCTACCCCGATCAAGACAGAGGACCCAGACGGCGGGCTCGTCATCGAGGTCTCCGTCCCCGCCCAGCCCGTCTCCGGTGCCATGCCCGAAGTCCCCTTACGCGCCACTCACGCCGTTCCAGAAATGAAGAGGATGATGTACGCCTTCCGTCTCGAAAACTTTGCCATGCACGACGGCATCAAGTCCGCCGCCGTCCAGCCAGGCTCCGGTGGTATCGAAGTCGGCCCCCTCAAGGAGCAGCCCGTCGAGCTCGAGTGGCAGGTTCAGCTCGACGCCCCACTCGTCGCCGACGAGGAAGAGGACGCGTTCCGCTATCCGACCGCGCCTCGCGCACAGGGCAAGACCGCCGCACGGCCGTCGACGTTGTACAGACAAGACACCCCCGTCTCCCCCAGACAGACCGGGCGCGGAGGCTACGTGTCGATGGGCAGTGCGTCCCCCGCGTCGAGCTTGGACTACCCGTCCGCAGTCGAGAACGACGCCTGGGACGCGTCCTCCGGGTACGGCTCCGTCGCAGGCACCAGCGCGCGTTCGGGCCCCCCCTCGACCTCGAGCCCGAGCTTCCCCTCCGTGATGACCCCCGCGCAATCCTTGAATTGGGACTACCAGCCGGGGGAGGCCTCCATCCCGCCCTCGACGTACCGCAGGCAACCGCAGCCGTCGGGCCAGCGCTCGTGTATGTCTTCCTCCTTCTCTTTTGCTGCGGTAACGGGCGAGGACTAACCGTGCGCGCAGTATCTCGCGTGTCGCAGACGCACGGGCAGTACCTGCTTAGCGGGAGCTCGAGCTCGAAGGTCGTGTACCCGCAGGCCTCGCAGTATAATGGCTACGAGTCCTCCGGCTACCCACGACATACGTCGAGCAGTCGGTACGGTGGGGATGTGTACGCGGCTTCGTCCGCCGGCTCTTGGTATCGTAAGTCTCCCATTAGCATCCGGCGTCAGGCCAGCATGCTCATCCGGGTTCTCTTTAGGCTCGTGAAGTGCGGTGTCACCCCGCATACTGAGCGCAAATTCTTTTTCTTGGCGCATATATAGACGTGCAGCTCACATCGAGCGTGCTGACGAGGAGCAGCACAAACCACCACGATACGGATTTCGGATACCCTGCTCGCGCTGTGCGCCCTCCAAGCGGTTTGTATCTATACGTCTTGCATATTTTCTTGTCGTCGAGTTGGACGTAAAGTATACGCCATGGACATCGCACTTATTTGCTGTATCATCGACATGCTTCTCATCGTTTGCAGTTTGCGCACACAATCCGCTGCTTTCGTGCTTTGTAGAGATCCTACATCCACCGCATACCCCTCTTGCTCTCATCAGCCGGTCACGACTCATGCATTCCGTAGGCTTCTCGGCTCTCGCTATGTATTCTCTCATGGTCATCGGGGCTCTCTTCTATCTCATCTGCCATCGTCTCGAATGCACAACACCATCTTGCTCTCTGCGCTCTGATCGTCGTCCTACACTCTGCACGTTGCTGTCCTTACGTATCGCCTCACTCATCATCTGTATCTGTATCTGCTATTGTTCACAAGCCGCGCCGGTAGAAGGATGTCATTCCGATATGCCCTGACTCGAGCTCGTCTCCCGGTGCGACGCAGGATGGTATCATGCTGTGATCACGATCTGGCGCGCCATCTGACGTCGGAGCGGGCTGGACGACAGATTCGAGTCGCCCGGATGTCGATGACGGCTGAGATCTGGAAGCCGGAGGAGGAGAGGCGCCTCGCGCGACCGTTCGCTGCATCGTGATCACTTCACTACAGCCGCCAGACGTCTGCGCAATCTACACCACCAGCGACTCTCGTAGCCCCGACGCGCTTCTTCTCTCCCCCCGCCACGTCTGGCTGGCCTTGAACTGTGTCTGCGGGGTGGTCGCGATCGCGCTCGTCCACGCGCCCTGCTTTCTTGTCACAGGGCCGAACGTATACAGGGACGAGGGAAGGAGCGGAGTTGGGGAGAATGGAGAGAACACAGCGCATAGCAGGCAGGAACGCATGCATGAATGAGGGGCGCCTGGCTCATCGGTATGTCCACCCGTCCATCCTTCCGAGTCGAGTTCAGGCGAGTCCGCGTGGTCGCGGTCGCTGGCCGAAGCGTCTGCGTCTGCATCTACGATGATCGCACGGGTTCCTGCTGGTCGTTCGGGCGTGCGGGAAGACGTAAGAGCGTAAGAGCGCTTGGCTTGGGGCGCGGGCGCGGGCGCGGGCGTGTGGGATCTCGGCTGTAGATCGGGATGTAGTGTGGCGAAGGCGGGATCTGGGTTCGGTTGGTGAACGTTAACTTTGAGAATGGATGATGGGGAGCTGGTCGGGGTTTGAGCTTACGTGACGGGAGTGCGCCGGTGCGAGTGTGGGTACGCTCGGATAGGGATAGGGGGAGGGAGAACCAGGGAATGGGAGAATGGGCAAATGGGAGGACGGGCGAATGAGAGAACGAGCAAATGAGAGAACGAGCGGATAAGAGAACGGGCGAATGGGGAAACCAGGTGTAGGGCGAATGGGCGAGTGCGGTGTGTCACGACGTGCCCCGGGCTTCTCGCAGGCAAAGGGGGGGGGGGTTCTGTCGGAAGATCTACTTGCCTTTGACGGGCATGGGAGAGTGTGTGTGATCAGTAGAAGGGAAGGGGAAGGAGAAGGGGTGGGTGGACGTTCTCGTTCGACTGCGGTGATGGATTCTGTCCGAGACGGGTTTAGCTGTCTGCTGGAGAGAGGGTTAAAGGCTTATTTTATTTGAACGCTGAGCGTGTCTGTGTGCCTCGTTGTTGGGACGGGGGTGCTAAGTATACGTACGCGCTGGGCGATGGAGCATCGTATTGGTTGGGAGCGTGAGCACGTCGGAGCTGAGTATGTATGAGTGCTGAGGTCTGAGGACGGGGACTGGATCGTCGGTGTACGTGGGCGGATGAATTGGCGGGTACCGGTGGAACAGATGCGAGATCGGTATCGCGAGGCGAGATATAGACTGCGAATGACCCGACCCTCGGACGCGATGCAGACGAGGAGGTGAAGAAGCTGCCTCCAACCAGGTGACTGGAGGGTTTGCGAGCGCGCTCAGTGATGGTGGGAGCATGAACTGAACTCTGTGAGTATGAGCATGAACTGAACTCTGTGAGTATGAGCATGAACTGAACTCTGTTAGTATGACCTAGGATTGGAGTCACGGTGCGGTACAGGCGAGATTCAGGTCGAGAAGGGGGATCGACGTCATAGCCCGTTGTCGTGTCACCTTCATACCCGAAGGTAATATAAAGCTCAGGCAACAGATGCGCTTACCTGCGAGGCTGCGGCCCTGCGGATACAAGCACGAAGCAGTCTCGACAGCCTCAGCGAGGGTTGTAGGCCCACGCATGAGCACCTAGACCGAGCCGCAGAGGTAGCAGCGTGCGGTGTCGATCGGGGCTGCGCGAGCTCTAAGAACAGAAGAGTTGACGGCGTCAGTGGACCTGATCGCGAAGAGTGAACGCAAGGAGTCTGCAGGGCCTTCAAGTATCGAACGATCGGCAGTGCTCCCGGCACAGGCATGTCGTCGGTCTGTGGGAGGAATTGCCGGCTGCCGCTGATAAGTATACGAGGTGGCGCTCTGAGGTGTGTGCTGAAGGGAGTGGCGCACACTGAAGCGTGTGGTTTCACCTACGGCTGGGGTTGGTGGTTGAGGAGGAGTGGTTTGACGAAGGGGTTAACCAGGAAAGTCGAAGGGGACAAGCCGGTACTGAATAGGGGCCAGCCGCCTCGTGGATACCAAGGAGTCGCAGACATTTGGCGTGGCTGTCAGATGGCCTTCATGAAGGATGCGTGGAGTGGAGCGACAAACGGGTGGCAGAGAGCTCGGCAGCATATTATGCTAGATTGCATGTGTCAGCGGCGCAAATAGCACGGTCGATTGCCGTTGTGGAGACTGTATACAGACGTCGAGGACGGAGGGGCGGTGGGCGACAGGACGGCAGTACATGCGGGCTTAGCGTAGCATTAAAAGCGACGGAGATTGCGCGGTTTGCGTCATGCCAGCAAGCACACACCACGCAGCGGCCGCTGGCCTGCGCCAGGGCGAGGGCCTCGACGGCGCAGGCCGACGACGTCCTGCTTGCGATTTCGATCTCCCGGGTCCGGAAGCCGCGCCGAAGCAGGACAGACACCGAGCTGCTCCCGGCTTCGCGGGAGAAACACCCCGGCTGCTGTGCACGCACCGCGCCGTCCTTCCGCGGCACGCTCGGTGCACAGTCGGCGACGGCGGCGGCGGCGGCGGCGGCGGCAGCAGCGTCGGCGGGCCCAGACAGGACGGCGCCGGGGCCCGGGAGACTCGCGTGGCCGACGCAGGGAGAGGAGGCGGAGCGCCGGAGAGAGGGCGGCCACGTGGGGCGGATCGCGCAGTCTGTGCGCTCTTCTCATTGGCGGGCTCGCCCTCGCCCTCAGCGACGAGCGTCGTGGACACGGTTGGGGAGGCTGGGAGGAAACAGACTGCGGCGAAACCAGGTCCGTGACATGTTCTGACGGCAGAAGGCCCTCTCCAATATGCTCCGTTGCATCAGATATGCCGAGGTCCTCATAGACGTCCGTCTCCACACCGAGACCATCGTCAGCCAAGAGGGCGATCAGCCGTACGTTCCTCACTCGTCTCTTGGCCTGTCCCCCCTCGTTCTTATCTCGCTCTCAAGGCCGTCATGGGTGGACGTGGATCCCGACACCCGCCAACGCCTCATCCACTCCCTCAGCTCCTGGCATTTCGAGCCTCATAAACTCCCCGAAGAAGAGATCCTAGCATGCTCTTACATCCTCTTTGAGGCTCTCTTTCGGATAGAGCACATGCACGACTCGATATCTGTCCCTCTAAGTGAGCTTTCACTCTTTTCTGATACGGTACACATGCATCTCCACCCCGTGAACACTGTCGGCCGTCTCCTCGGGTCCTTAGTTCCCCCTTGCCCACCCAATGTACTAACCCGTTTCTGCTAGATTGTCTAGCCACGTTCGTGCAGCATCTACGCCAGCTCTATCGGCAAGGCAATTCATACCACAACTTCCAGCACGCTCTAGACGTCTTTCAGGCTGTATACTTCTTCCTATATTGCGCTGGCGTCGTCCCCTCTGTCACCATCCTTCTCGAGGACGGCCGTACATGGGAACGAGATAAGACCCAATGCGATCCCCTCGTCTCGTGCCTGACTCATGAGGACCTATTTGCGCTCTACGTCGCAGCGGTCGGTCATGACGTTGGTCATCCAGGTTTAACAAACGCCTTCATGGTAATTGGACGCCTGTCACTACGCCTCCTCGCACTGCTGATAATTATTTCCGTCACTCAAACGCTAGCGGAACGCTAAGACGCCGCTGTCGGTCGTTTACGACGACAAGTCCGTCCTGGAGCAGATGCACTATTCCCTCATCATGCAGATTATGCGGCATAATAACCTTGGCTTCCTGCTCGATCGTCCTCTCACTGGCTCGACGTTCCGCAAGCTGCTCCTTGGCGCGGTTCTTGCCACGGATATGGGCGTACACTTCGACTTCATGACAGAGTTCGCGAATCTCCTAAAGGGCGCCGACTTCCCGGAGTTAAAGAGGCGCGTCCTGGTGTGTCAAGCTCTGATCAAGTGCGCGGATATCAGTAACCCGGTACGTAAGGTGTATTCACACTCGCGGTTCACGCTCTCACTCGTCACAGAGCCGACCGTATCTTGTTTCGCAACACTGGGCAGCAGCGCTAGAGTCGGAATGGAGCAGTCAGCTCCTCCTGGAGAAGCACCTTCACCTGCCTCTGTCAGTGAAGCCTTCAGATAGTCGGGTGGGCGAGGCGAACGGCCAGTTATGGTTCAACAAGACCTTCGCACGTCCGCTCTTCGAGCTTGTCGCGCAGGGCATCCCATGTGAGTGAGCATTCTCATCGGCAATAATATAGCCTGCTCAGAAGGCGGCCGCACTCGCAGCAATGGAACGCTTTGCCCACCAAACACGGGAGAATTTCGCCTTGTGGCAAGCGCGTGCTGCTGAGCTCGCCACAGAACCGCCAGATGATTCCGACACGGTCGCTGGCACGCCTCTGGCATGGCCGTCTCAGGTGCCGAATGACTTCCTGACCGCGTTTCCTCCCGCCCTCCCTCCGTCGTTCCGGCTACCCGAAGATCCGCTCTACCCGTCCTTCTACCACCCCCACCATCGCTTCTCGAGCGCAGAGCCCAGTTCGTCTTCGGATTCTACCCCCAGCCAGTACGAGAGCTGCGAGTCGTCGTGGCCCTCTCCTGCCTTATCACCTGCGCTCGACCCTTCGCCAGCACTAGCGTCTCCGATAACAGTGCTCCCTCCACGGCTGGAGTTGCAAACCCTTACGAGCCCCCACTCGCGCGCGCCCAGCGTCGCGTCCACCATCCCCTCGTCGGCCGGCAGTCTGTGCAGCATGACGAGCGAGGCGACCGCCGCGATCCGCGCGGCGTACAAGGCGAGCGTCCGCAAGAAGAAGAGCTTCCACCGCGCGTCGTGGAACCCGTCCCCGACGTCGTTCACGCCCGTGCCGTCGCCGCTCAGCCACGCTGCGCCAGCAGCGTTCGGACTGGAACAGGGGCGGAGCCCGGTCTCCCCCGGGGGCAATGGGGACAGCCCGATGAGCTTGAGCGCGGGCTCGCCGAGCACGGGCACCCTCACGCCTAGCCCGCTCACCCCGGAGGGGAACGCGGCGGGGCCGGGGGCGGGCGGACCGGTGCTGCTGAAGACGGCGCTCGTGTCTGCGTCGTCGTGACCCGCCCCTAGGCGTCTTCTTCCCCGCGTGCAGTCAGTCGCCCGCTGATGAGATCCGTTCTACCTGCATGCTCGTTTGGGTTTGGCTGCTTGAATGTGAATGATGATGTTATGGCATGGCACGCGGGCGATGCGCTTTGGCGGGTCCTGCTGTGTAATGCGTACGATCGCCCATCTGTATCTATCTATCTCCGCTATCTCAGTCCGTTCTCTGTCCGTTCTGCCTCCGTGTCTGTCTGTCGTCGTCGTCCTGTCTGTCTCGTTCTGCCCTGCCCTGTCTTGTGTCGTGTCGTTCGTGCCGTATCGCTATGGCTGCCTGTCCTCTTTCGTACATCTCTGTTCACGTCTGCTCTTCGGTCATCCTCGATCATCTCTAGCGTTTCTTCATGTCGACATTTGCATCATCGCTCGGGTTCGGACATTCGCATCGTATTCGGAACCTCGGCTATATCCATATGTTCATCTCGACCCCCGTGTCTTTCCCCTGCCTCACTCGCAGGTTACGGGCATTCGCAGTCGTCGGAGATCGCAGCCAATCAACGGTGAATCCATGCAGGCAGCAAAGGGGCCTTCGCCAGACCGATGTGTCTTGACCATTTGTGCACCACAGGGGACAGGGTAATGCGGGTCGTATAGAGACTGAGTTGCCATTGCACAAATGAGCTGTTCATAACTACAACTACGCATGAATCCTCGGCCGGTCGTGTATATTGTACACTCGCTTGTCCACCCGAAGCATCCTCTCCCGTCCGCAGGACACCGGCAGTGTGTCTGTTCAAACGCAGCATGATTTACTGCTCCGAACGATGTTCCCAGGATTGACAGGAGGTGGGTCCAAGGAACGTTTGATTTGCTGCGTAATCGCACAAAATAAGGGATACATGCTGCGGTAGGTGGTAACGGCGAGAAGGAACGAGTGGGGGAATGGTGTATCAACAACAACGGAGGGCATACTAGACACAAGAAAACCGGATTATCAAAGAGTGTTACGAGGTGAGCAAGGCACGATAACAAAGCAGAGGTGAGATAATAGTAGAGGGAAGGGGTAAGGGTGAACGCGATGGGGGCAGAGGGTCGATATACACAAGGTGATTATGGCCGTGCATACCGAGGTGATCAGTGGGAGAGAAATCGATATATGCAAGCGGAAGACAACGGCCCCATGTATTACGACTCTTGCCCAGCGGCTGATGTAGAAGTCTTGGTCGATCGACGCGTCCCGAATCTAGAGAAGAAACCACCCTCATGCGACGTCGAGCTGCCTGCACGGGAGCGGAATGACCATGCTGGGGAGACTGGACGCTGCATCTCTATTGCATTAGGGTCGAGCAGCTGCTCCCGTGCACGCGTCGGTGCTGGCTTCTGGGGCGCATGATTGTGATCGTGGTTGTGGTCATGGTGATGATGATGGTGCTCGATTCGCCCAGACCGACCCACAGTATGACGACCGTCACAACAAGCGCGGACATTCTCCAGTCCTTCGAAGCCCTCGTCGGATAGAGTTTCATCGTGGAGCTCGAAGTCCAAGTCCTCGTCATCGCCACCAGGGACGTGCTCGTACTCCTTCGTGGGACTACTCGGAGCTTCGGCCCACCGAAGGTATTCGGCGGCGGGCGTACCTGATCGTTTGCCCATTGATCCGCCTAGCGATATTTGAGAACGACTCCTCTGTCCACGAGGAGTAATGTTCCATGAGTCTCCGCTGCGAGCAGTTCGACCGGTTCGGGTACTCCGTTGGCTCTCGGGACTCGACATTACGTTCGCGGGATACTCCTCAGGTAGTTCTCCGTTCACCGACATCGGGCTCATGGCACCAACATCACCTTGCCCAGGAGCAGATATGTGCGCATTGCCTGGTCTTGTGAGGAGGTACTTTAGAGCCTGCAAGTGAGATAATCATGAGTTATTATCACGAAGCGCGTAGGGAATGCATCCTTACATTGAACCAGATGTCATGCCTTTCTTTGGTAGGCGCCGTGAACTTCATCTCCCGCTGAGGCGTCGACACGATCACGCTGTACTGGTAGATGCCTGGCGGCATTGGGTTCGGGTCCATGACAGCGCGTACGGACTCGATGTACGCTATGGAGATTCTCAACGAACCGGACTGCGACATTGCCAACGGATGACTTACCGCTCTTGGCACTGGACTCAGTGACGTTTGACGAACCCGGATCGGCAGAACTCCAGTACAACGTCCGAGTATACGGGTGAACCCAAAAGAAGCGTTTGTGCCTACGCTCTCCATGTCCTTTCCCGATGGCTCTCCTCGTGTACTTGTACAAGAACTCTCCGATCATCGTCTGCGTGATGGCGTGGATGATCGCCGGGTCTGTTGACACGGGTGCACCGCCGGCGATGGGGCCTGCACGCTCCTGCACGGTGGCCTCCAGGTTGCTGTGCCGACGCATATGGGCTTCGAACTGATGGTCGGAGGAGATCGACGAACGTTGCGACCCGATACTGTGGCCGCCAGAATTGAGGGAGGCAGACGAGAGCTCTCGACGTTCGCGATCACGAAGGTTGAACGAGAGAGCCGAAGGACTGGAAAGAGGCGCACGGGCTGCCGCATTCGCGGCTGAGCGGAAGCTGCTCGTAGACGGTAGCTGGCGGAGACCTTGCTGAGATGGTGGCATGGAAGACCCATGGGCTCGCCCAATCGTACCTCGTCCGGGTATACCCAAATTTGGCGTCGTCGCACGCTGGATGAGCTCTACAGGAGGCGGCGACGAAGGACGAGGAGGCGGTATATCGTGGGACATCCTCTTCTCGGGTATGAAAGGAGGGGGTAACATGGTATTCGGCGGGGGAGGCTGTCTTGGGGGAGGCGGTAGAACCATCATGGGCGGACGAGTCTTGTCGATATTTGGGAGCACGGAAGGCGTCCGCGATCGAGTCATGATGTCGTCCATAGCAGAGGACAACGTTGACTCTATGGACTGTCGCCTGTCCGAATGAGAAGTGCGGGGGCGAGCAATGAAAGTGGCATTTGCGTCCCGAATGGTCGTGTTCGGTGACGGCGACGAAACTGGAGATGGGACTGCAGGGGTGGGCAATGTAGTGGCAGTGGTGGTCGGGCCCGCCGACGAAGGCGGAATGAATTGGAACTGTTGAGAACTCGGGCCAACGCGGAAGACAGTGGGAATAGACCCCGCCGCGGCGCCAGCTGCAGAAGCGGATGCGGCCACAGCAGCACCTGCAATGGAGCTGGCGGAAGACGCGACAGACGGAGGAGCAGGTATCGGGATAGGGACGACGGCAGGGGTCGACGCAGCGGATGGAGCGGTGGCCGGCGCCGGAACGGGAGCTTGAGGCGGAGGAGGAATCCACTCGTCGGTTTGAATGGACATATCCTTCGTTTCCGGCTTCGGCGAAGGCTCGGGAGCTGGAGGGAGGACAGCTGGCACCACAACAGGTTCCGGTTCCGGCTCTGGCTCCGCTTGAACGCCAATAGTAACGACGGCGGGTGCTGGCACCACGACAGGCTCCGGTTTTGGCTCTGGCTCTGGCTCCGCCTGAACGCCAACAGTAACGAGGGCAGGTACTGGCTTTGGTTCAGGCTCGGGTTCCGGCTCGGGTTCGGCCTGGACGCCGATAGTGACAAGGACAGGCTTGGGCTCCGGCTCGAGGACAGGCTCAGGTTCAGGTTCAACCTGAATGCCCTGCTCCGCAGTCTCGACAGGCGGCGGCTCCGGGATAGGGTCCGTCTCAATCTCGACGGTGGCATATGTGAGTGGAGGCTTGACAGGAGATGGCTCCGGTGCAAGTACCGCGGGCGAGGTCTGAGGAATGGAAACGGAAGATGACATAGCGGAATCGGTCTGTACCCTGGACGCCTTGATGCTCTGGTCACTCCCAGAGTCGGAGTACCCTGACTCGGAGACGGTCCGAATGGAGTGGTAGTCGCTGAGCGATTCACCCGATGGTGTCACGGGCACGCTGTACGCATCGGTGAAATCTTCGGTATGTGTTGTGTCCCCAGTGATAGACCCGGTCTCCGTCACACCGTCATCGTCCTCTTCGAGCATAGCAGTTTCACTGAACGTGAGCGAGGGTGGACGGCGCAGACGGACCGTGGCGTTGCCGGAATCCTCGCTGGAGCTGCGAGAGAGATCGGCAGCATGCACGCCAGTGTATGCAGCAGCAATAGCCGCGGCAGGGGTAAACACGGGCTGGGTCTGAACGCCCGTGCCCGCCAGACCAGGAGCAGTAGTCTGAGTCTCAGCCGAAGAGAACGTCGGTGCAGGGCGTTCCGGGACAACATCAACCTGGATCTCAGCGTCAGCGAGAATTGGTGCGACTTCGGGGTCAGTCTGGAGCGATATTTCCGTGGTAGAAACGATAGGCACGGGCTCTGGTTCAACCTGGATGGCCATTTCTGAAGTCGACGGTGGAATGACCTGAATGATGGGAGGCGGAGGCGGAGGCTCCTCGAAATCTGTCTGCACACCGAACTCGACGGTCTCGATGTCAGCGAACTCCTGTTGCAAGTCGTCCGCGATGGAAGATCCGGGCTCCGCTTCCATCATACCGAAACCGAGCTCTGCTGCAAGTGCCTCCGGCTGCCCGACAAGGGACGGTGGACGCGCCTCCTGGTACGCAGCACCGCCACGCGAGCGACGAGGGAGCGTGCCGCCGCGGGCCGTGCGTGCCAGTACGCTCTGGCGCAAGGGGCTGCCGTTTTGGAGAGAGCTTGCGGACACAGAGCGGCGGAGGACGTTTGCGAAGGCAGGGTCCATGCCGTCGACACTGGTCCGGTTTGAGTTCACTGCAGTAGAAGGCGAAGCTTGCAAATCTGGTTCCTCGAACTCCTCTTCGTCGTCCAAGTCGGCTCCTTGCCTAAACTCGGCAGGGATGGGCGGTACCGAGGGAGCTGGGGACGTGTCGAAGTCGTGATCGTCGTTGTATTCTGAAGACGGGCTGTGGGCGGCCATGCCGAGGCGTTGAATGAGCGTAAGACCACCACGACCCCTACCACGGCCGCGACCGCGGCCGGAGCGGTAAGGCGTGAGACGTGCTTTGGGCTTGGGTGCTGCTTCCGCATCCTCATCAGCGACGTCATCTTCTTCCTCTTCGATCGCGAAGCCAGGGGATGCCTCGAGCTTGCGTCTGTAATCCATGCGAAGCTCCTTCTCCCTCTGCAACGTGCTCTTGAGAGTGCTGATCTGCCGCTGGGCATGCGCGAGACGCTGCTGGAGCGCTTCGATCTCGTTCGTCGGGTGGTTAGGGGCGAGGAAAGTCTTCGAGGGCGAAGGATCGGGGGACTCGTCGAAATCAAAGCCATCTGGAGGGAAAAGTCCAGAGTTGTCCAGCTTCTTGCGGGTGTGCGTCGATGCGGCGGCGGTGCTGAAGACATCGTCTTCGTCCTGATCTGCCGGAGTGACAGCTTCGGAAGCAGTGACGCCGTTAGGAGTGAGCGGAGAACCAAAGCGAGGGAGACGGCGGGAGGCCTTCGCCACTTCCGCCTTCATCGAATCCAAAGCCTGCTGCAAATCTGATTTGTCGCGTTGGAGGCTCGCGGCATGCTTTCGTGCTTGTGCGACGTCTGTCTCGTGCTTAGCCTTAAGTTCTTCGAACGCCACCTGTTGCCGCTCAGCCTCGTTCTTGTGCTGGTCAGCAGTCTCGCGAGTTGTAGTGAGAAGACGTGTCAGCCGCTTGTTTTCGCCCTCGAGACGTTGAGCGGTAGCCTGGGAGTCTGCAGCCTGAGTGCGAAGTTCCTGGAGCGTGACCTCGAGATTCCAGTTCTCCTCTTTAAATTTGTCTGCAGACTGCTCCTGCTGCCGGAGAGCTTGGCGGAGGTTTTCGAGAGACTTCTCGAGATCGTCCTTCTCCTCCTTCATATCCTGGATTGCCTTGTCTCGCTCACCAAGTAAGCTTTGCAACCGACGGACCTCCGTAAGCAGACCACTACCAATCTCGAACGCGAATTCTGTAAATCATGCACATCATGGTAAACAATCTGCCCGCACGAGGGGATAGGAACGAAGGAAAAGGTGCCGGATGGGCTTCTATTACGAGACGCGCGCACAATGCTTCACTTCGGCAATAGCTCTCTATGGGCGTTATTCATCGCGTGTTTGCTCCCATTCTCGCCAGGCCACGGATAATGCCACCGAGATATGAGGAATCAGCTTAGGATAGGGGGGTATGAACTGCTTCCTGTATAACTAGGGTATCCGGGGAGCTATCGTTGCCCCGTGGAGGAAGCGATGCATTTTATGGCGGTGAAATCGAACCATTCGAGACGGATTCATGCCTGGGTGTTCTCACATAGTGAATGAGGCGTGTGCAGCAATCCGCTCGCAGCACATACCGCGGAAAGCTCTGGCTCATAGCACCGCTATTTGAGCCTCCCGATCAACCCGTCGGCAAGCACAGTAATACACCGCGCGATGCTTCGTGCCACAGACGAATGGATTGATCACCGCTGAGATTCTAGGAATGCGTCGGACTCAGACTAAAGCAAACCGAACACTCACCGACATCATCAGCACGATGAGCTGCATTCTTCGCACGGCGAGACGATTGCGCCGCAGATGGACCAGCGACAGCACCCTTCGAGCGTTCATGTTCATTCCGTGAAGGCTCTGTATGACGCGAGGCAGGAGCATGGACACCATTCGTGGGCTGATAAAAGGAAGGTCGGGGTTTAGACGACGGGGAGAGCTGTGCGATCAGGTTGCCACTCACCTTAGAACCGAACACACTCGTCAATTGCTCGTTTTCAGTGTCCCAAGCCTTCATCGCATCCGCAAGCTCGCGGTACTTGTCCCGTACACTGACGTCTAAACCATCGTCACTGCCGGTGCCATCGAGTTCCAACTCCTGCATCTGCTTGATCCGCTCCTCGAGTTCCATGCGCTGCGCCAGCAGCTGGTGGCCGAGCGTGGCCGCGGACTGAAGTTGCTTTTCCTTGCTGTCGAGGAGGTTCTGGAGGTGGAGACGAATGTTTCCGGTAGCATCGTGGTCAGATATGGCGTCCACGTCGCCGCCATCGGAGAAAGTCGCCATCGTCGCCGCCGACGACGGTGGTGGAGGTGGAGACGACGGACTCGGAGACGCGACCGTCTAACGCGTGGCCGTGACGATGATAGGTCACGCGTGACCCGCCGTTCAACCTTGTCCAGATTTGGCGTCCAACTCGTCTCCGGCCACGGATTTTGGTGGCCTAGCACAGCCTGAAAGACAGCCATATTTCTTACAGCAGACGCCCGGTAACGACTCGCGCACGAGGAGTCTGCACCCACTAGGCCTTGAAGGACGCAAGACTCATTTCAAGCGATGAAGCCGTGAGCGAACGAGTGCGTATGAAATGGACGTTTTGTTGGAACATAGCGTCTGAACAAGAGCTTTTTTATTATTATTATTATTATCTTGTCTTATACCAAACATAGCTACAAAGTACGGTAGGTATGTAAGTAAGCGTCTTATCCGAGATTGTTTGGCATTTCCACCCAGCGCGTCACTTAAGACTTGCACCAGCGTGCTCGGACCACGACCGAAGTCAGCGTGTGGAGTAAGGACCCGCACCTACCCGCTCACACCATATCTGCCAACGGCGACCCGGAGTCGCCGTCCCCATCCGTAACAAGAGTGGTCGCCGTCGAGGAGGAGGACGACGACGAGGGGGGGGGAATGAAGTGTCGCCAAACTATCCGCCCGGCTAGTTCGGTGACGGTGAGGGATAAGACCGGGATAGTCGCCCATCCGGTCGTAGGAGTTTGCGGGCTTTCCGTCCGTCCGGCCGCATCCGGAACGGGGCGTACTTGTGGCCTCGCGCAAGTAGGCGCCGCCGGTCGTGCCGGCAGCGCTGGGGGAGGAGGGACTCGTGACCGAAGTCCAGTACTAGCGCTGCACCAGAAGTGCAAATAGTGAAATCTTGCAACAGAAGTGCAAATCGAGGCGCTATTCATCAGATCCTCATCAAATAACCTGATTCTTTTTGCGTCGTGTGCGTATGAAGCTACTCTACGGTCTCGTAAAAGAGTTGG